ATAACTGAAATCGTTGTTTCTCCAACAGGTTGGTCATCTTATTTTCTGTCTTTTCAACCGTTCCGACTGTCCCCTTTACAGACAGGCTTCTGACAGCAACAAAACTTGGACAAGCTTTAAAAAAAGTGAGTAAGCCGGATTTAAAGATTCAAATATGACCATGAGGATCTCGCGCGCCTCTGCACTACCCCTAAGCCACACAGAGAGTCGGTGGTAAGCAAGGGTGTCACAAGGGGTAATATAAGAGACGCGACCTTCATACAGCTACGATAAAAAATGACGAACTTATGTAAGTAAAAAGAAGAAGGAGGAGGAAGGAGAATTGTTTGTTTTACAATGATTTGTTTTGTATTTCGTTTAGCCCCAGTCAGTTTAAAACCGTTTCCTCGTTATGTGAGTGTGAACAGCTCAAGCAACGCTCTGACAAGAACTGTGAAGTATCTCCTCTTGTACTTCACTGGTTATCATTTTCCTCCGGGCAAATATGAAGAATGCAAGGCATCTGACGTACGTTCAGTATTGTGTTAGCTTTATTACTTAATTTTTTATACACTGAAATATAATTAATTAGCAATTACTAGCCCAAGCTCGGAAGTTAAAATTATATGATTCTTGTTTTGTACCTCTTGTTTTGATTTTGTTGTTCTTTTCTGTTTGTTTTTGTGTGAGTAGTGTGAATGTGACTGAGTGTGAATGTGACTGAGTGTGAGTGTGAATGTGATTAAGTGTGAGTGTGAGAGTGAATGTGACTGGCTATGAGCGCGCGTGCGAGTATGTAAGAGTATGACTGTGAATGTGAATGTGAATATGCGTGAGAGTGAGTGTGTGCGGGTGCGAGTATGAGACCGTGTTCTCTGTGACAAGCTAGTAGTAGTAAAATACCAGTAGGCTGGTAATTTAAAGTACTCATCTATTCAGGAAGTTTAACAGAAAATTAGGTAGTATAACAAACATTATGTACTCCTGTGTGGATTTTGATAGATGAAGACCAAATGTCAAACAGTTGTACCGCTTAGTTTAACCCTCCTTTGAAAACTTATGCATTTGCAGGGCGTCGAAAAAATCAAAGTCCTTGGCCAAAAACTGCAAGGTCTTTGTGTGACTGGTTCGGTGTTCGAGTCACCAGCTGTATCTCCTGCATTTGTTGAAGAAAACTACGATTCTGCTGAATATTCTACTTGGGCTGAGAGCACGTAAGGTTTTTTCCCGTTCGTTGCACCAAATGTGGATGAAATTGTCGTGCTACTGAAAACTACCCTTTACCTTCATCTGGGACTGTTCATTATATCTTCTTTTTAGTTAATGAGATTATAATTTTTTTTCCTCTCCTGTTCCAAATAGATGGAACGACGATCTTACAGTTCAATTATTTCTTGTCGCAAGCCCCAAATTAGAGGTGAGTTATTTTGTCTCCTTCTTATGATGACAGTATTAAAAATGAGAACAAGTTACAGCCTTCTTTTGGAAAGCGCCGGGATAGGACGATTGTCGATTATGAATAGAGGCGTTAAAATCGGATGTTGTCCGACGCTTACTACTTTATTCAGTGCAAGTGTTGGTTTCTCGTTATATTCCAGCGCTCGATGTTGGAAACATTTCTCCGCCTATTTTAGACCAGATAAAAACGCCTGCTTGTCCGGGCGTTAGTGATCTCTTGACTTTCCGTACTTTCCATTGGTTACGTGTTTTCCCGCCCCTGTCATAAATGTCAACCTTTCCTGCGCTTGAAACAAGCCTCATATTTTCCCATTTACGCTTTTAAATTTCTCCCGCCTTGGTCTACAGGAAGTGGTTTCTTTTCGTTCCGTGGTAGCCACTGGTGACATGTATTCTCGCACTTAACACAAGTGTCATGTTTTCCCGCCTTTTTGTAGACATATTTTCCCGCCTTGTTGGATTTCAAGAGGCCACGCTTGCCACTTGTTGCACGTGTTCACGCACCTGACGCAAGTTACACGTGTTCCCGCGCTTGACACATGTCATGTTTTCCTGCCCAATTTTTGACATATTTTCCCGCCTTGGTCGATGTCAATACGCCACGCTTGCCACTTGTAACATCTGTTTGTTAGCATACTTTTCCTACTTGTTCGTTGTTGTTGTTGTTTTTTTTTTACTTTCCGCACTTTACAGTGGTTACGTGTTTTCCTGTCTGCTTCTTAGCATATTTTCCTTCCTTGTTTCCTGTTTTTTTTTAACTTCCCGCGCTTTACAGTGGTTACATGTTTTCCCGCGCTTTGCACGCGCTTGCCACCGAGTTAGTGTTTAACCGCGCCTGTTGCGGTTCGTTTTCAAAATAGTTTAGTATCATTATTTCAACATTCTTTGTTTTGTTTTTGTTCTTGTTTGTTTATTGGTGTATTCTATTATTTTCATTAATTTTTTTGCAAGGCCAATTCATCTGTTTCCTTCATGTTTCAGGGCGTAACGCTGGGTGCTGGACTCACAATTACCTTCCTTTCTTTCGTACTTGTATACTTTATTAACAAGAAGGCTGACGTGATCTTCACTTCCACTGATCCTCTAAGTTCTGAACTCGACAATTAAAGCTTTTTTACAAGTCCAGCAATACAAGTTTAGAAATCCTCCCAATGACAGCGTAATAAATTCAAGTGACAGGTGGCGTGAAGTAAAGATCTGACAGGGTCTCGGCTAAAAAGGCAAATTCTCCCATGGAGGTTATAAAGAGTACGTTAAAACAGCATGGCGAATTGAAGTCGATCATGAGTTTGACAGAGTTCAGCAAATAAGTTCTCACGATACTAAACAACGGACCTGATTAATGAAGAATGTCACTAAAGCAATTAATAGGACACAAGGCTGCCCTCTCTTAAGGAGTCGGAGGACACAAGTCGTCTAATCCTTGCAGCTGTAGTCTCCGATGAAGAGCGAATCACCTCCGAGGATATTCCGAACCCGCGATGATTTGTCGACGAAAGCGGCTATCGGGCAATTTAGATCTTGTTAACGAGAATAGAAACTTCATTTTGTCAAACTGAGAATTGTGTTGATTATAAGAGACGATTTACTCTAGCCTTTTCTCTTATTTTTGTTTTTTTATTTCCTTGGAGTAGATAGAAAATTATTTGTTGTTAGGAAAAGATTAATCGTCACAAATCAACATCTCGAATGTATTTAAAAAATGGTCGAAATTCTTAAGAAGGCTTATGTCTGAAATAAGACACACTCATGACATCTATTTTTCTAAACAGTTTTACTGATTTTTTGAAGCCTGAAATTTTTTTTTTTTTTTTAACCTCAGAACAGAGCGCTGGTAAAATCCGGTTGCTTTCGTAGCTATGAAAAGAAATGGTTGCACATTCCCACCCAAAGAAGTTCAAAATTGTCTTCAGCTGTTCAAGAGAAATAAATTTATGATTTATGAGTGGAAGAGATAAGCTTTCAGTAATTAGCTTTGGAGACATGTCCTTTTTGTCTTTGCTCTTACCAGGTATTCAGGATCTCAATTATTTATGATTATTTGTTATTTGAAGGGAAATTTCAGTTTCTCATGCAGTTGTAAATACCGACCCAGTATGCTTTCCTCTTTGTATCGAAACATATTTTTGTGATACGTTTTTTTTTAATAGGGAAATTTAGTTAAAAATCTCTCAACTGTACTATTGTTAAGTATGATAAAACTACTCAAATGTTATTATGCCACTTAGTGTTTAGAAAAATGGTCGAAAAATATAAAGTTTTCTACAAAAAAAGAAACTGATTAATGGCATCAGCTTTCCATCTGTCCAGCTTAAAGCTTAAGAATTTTGCTTATAATAAAACTTGCCTCCTCAAACAAAGGCCAGAAGGTTCTAACAACAAAACACGGAGTGGCAAATGTATTGTGATTTCGTCTCTCTTTACAGAGTGCGTTTCGATTGACTGTAATAAAACCAAAATAATAAGGGAGAGCGAAAAAAACTATCACAAGCAGCCAGTAAGAACTCAGGTTAAAAATGAGCAAACATCTGAAGCGCAGATTGATCCCAATATTCAACTAAAAATCGCTCTCTGTATAGTTGTGTGCCTCTCAAACTCTTTCAGGAAGTTTGTTAGCAAATTGGAACATGACCAAGGGAAGTTGTTAAGTTTCAACGAGTTTGTTTTGCAATTTTTAAGCATTGTGGCAAGCGCTCAGACGGCCTGCTAGATTTTTCTCCTGTGTGATTCCAAGCCTGAGATCGTTCCCAAGATCTCGCTCTAGTCTCCTCTTGATGTAAACAAAAACATCAAAAACACCTTAGCTGAGATTACCCCTGCACCTGGCCTTCCCAGCGGTCTTCACGATTATGCATATTAGATGACACATTTCAAACAGCATACATGCAGCAAATAATAACAATCCGACATGGCGGAAAGAAATTGATAAATATTGTCTGCAACAACGATTTTGTATGTGTTTATGTCTCAGACAACATGACTGTGGTGGCAGGAATGGGACTTGGAGTATTACTAGTGCTGATATTTTGGAGTCTTGGTATTATAGGATGTGTCGTTTTGTCAAGAGCCTCAGGGGGGTTGAAGTAAGTACTACAACAATCTTTGGAGAACGGTGCTCTTGTGTGTCTTTCCCCGATATTTTTCGTCCTAGTTCTCAGTTATGTTCATAACTGTGCTAAGAACAACGTGAGAGATTAAGTGTATTCACTTACATAATGTGTTCTGCAGAAATGTCTCTGAGTTGAGAAATTTCATCCATAAGTGCAGCTACGAGCAGTTTTTCCCGGCCAGCGTCTTTTCGTGGCCAATTAGCAAATGTGAACACCCCATCACATTAAATATCAGTGCACTGTAGAGAATTTCGTAAATTTCATAATATTTCAGAACATGAGTTAATAAACTCAGCAATATTGAAAATTTTGAATCTGTCAGCAAAAATTTTCCGATGACATTTCCTTGTAGCAACAACGAAAAGAAAATCAAACATGTTTATTTCGTGAATTCAATAGATGGCGCCATCATTGAGAATTTTTTCTTCCTTATCAAATACATCAAATAGATTCTGTGTTGCTGTAGGTCTGTTTAGATCACAGACACAGGAGATGAACAAATGTGGTAAGAACAGAAGTGAAACACTCAGCTGGGCTTCCTGTGCCACTTTTTTTATTCTTGCCACATTTTGAAGTCATCTGTGATCTATTCCTGAACAAGACCCACAGCAACATGGAATCTATTTGTCAACCCTTTACACCCTAACATCAGTGTGCATATTCTCCATACTGTTCTCTATACATTTCCAAAGAGGCTGACAAGGAGAATTTGTTTCACAATCAAGAGCTGTTTTAGTTGGTGATCATCTCTTCTATTCTCATGACTTTCATGTTTGATTCAAGGGTGATATTGTAAGGAGAAATTGGATGCTAGTCATTCTTAAAAGCTAAAGGGTTTATTAGCTAATTTTCATAATGGTGTTTTTCTCGTTTTAGAAATGCAGTGGTGGGGATATTCTTTCTTCTTGTTCTTCTCACTGTGATTTTGGTTCTCTGGCCAAGAAAAACTCCTGAGGAAGAATTGGCAGGATCTACAGAAAAAAAGGTTGGTAAAACAGTGAAATAACCACAGCTTATAGCTTGAACCTGCTGGTGGTAGTTGATCATGTTGTTTGATCATCTTATTACAGGTAGTTCTAAAAAAGGCAAATGTCCTTGATAGTGGTTGATACTTAATCCTTTGCGCCCCCCCCCCCAAGAGTGATAAGTATCTAATTTCTCACTACAATATTGCCCCTGAATAAAAAATTAAGGTCATGAGAATAAAGGATATGATCACCAGCAAAGAAGCTCTTGATTGTTACAAAGATTCTCCTTGTCAGCACCTTAGGACATGAACAGGGATCAGTGAGGAGAATATGCATTCTGATGTTAGGATGTAAAGGGTTAACCCACTTAGTGATCTTTAATTCTTCTATGTTTTTCCAACAGATTGAAGTTGATGAACTGATTATTCCAAAGACAGTCCTGTTTGTGTTCATCTGCGTATTTTCATTAGTGGCTTTTGTTTTCCTTCTACTGCATTGGATGGAACCAATTTATTCACCTGCCCTCACCTCCAGAAAAACCTATGCTTTCTAAATAGAAAATCATCATTAAAAGAGCCTTGCAGATGGAATCATAAGTTCTGCATGCTACAAACACCCAGTGATGTGCAATCCATATTAGGAAAGCCTGTGCCTTGCTCACTTATTGTCCAGGGCCCACTTTTATGAAGGTCCTATTCCAGTTAGCAAAAAAGGTTCCAAAGTTGAAAAGAGCTGGGCACTACAAGACTTGGCACTATTCATCATCACAGGGCCTCAGATGAAACAATGCTAAACTATCGGCATTTGGAGAGGAAGTACTATGATGCTGTTGAAGACTGTTTTAGAGTTCCACAAAGGGTAAACAGACTGTGTGGTACAAAAATGGTACGAACTAGATGGACTCAAAAGCATACAAATGAAAGGAAGTCTTTTGCTAAATCAAAGCAAAACAGATTATAAGAGATGATCAAAAAGTTTGTCAAGAGGAAACTCATGAGAGTAAAAACATTTTTTTTGTTAGCCAGAGTGCCTCTTTGTCTTTTCGTTGATTTACAAGATGTGCCGAGTACGGAAACCTTCTGTGAAAGGACGACTAAAGGTCAGCCAGTATTACGGCTGTTAATTTTTTAGAGGCTCGCAGACATAAGTTGCAAGCTCCTGTAGCACACGCAAGAGGAGCCTTACGTGCACGTAACTCGCCCTATGCGCAAGCTTCATGCCTCTTTCCCTTCCCTTGAAATGCAAGAGAAGGAGACCAGTTTTAGCTTAATTAAGGGTCGGAACAGTTTGACTTTGTAAGTTTTGTTTTGTGTTGTTTCGCAAGCAATCACAAAACAAGCGTTACAGGCATCGATTGACTTTTCGCTCAACTGACCTCTATTTAATCGCGAACTAAGATTAAAAAAACAAACAAACAAATAAAAAACAAATGTACTCAATTATAGTTGTTCCGCGTCCACTTTTCAGTTACATTTGGTACCCCGTGGTTCCATAATTTTCGTCCGGGTCGCTATGTGGAAACTGGAACGACTTCTGGCAGAATTTGTGCTGGCAATCATGTGTTTTCCGGTTGGGAAGCTCTCTTGATGAAGAGCTGACGAAGGCCGAATTATGAATCAACTCGTAAGTGATGTTGAAAATGCAATTCGTAGCAAATTTGAAGGAACATCAGCGCCATCCAGTTCCTGTGATTTCGGCAAAGAGGCCGCTAGACACCCCCAGACCCGAGCTGAAAGAATGGCAGTTCTTGGACAAAATGTTTGCTACATTGTGACTGCGGTTGTTATCAACGAGGGGCGCGTTCTGATGATGAGAGAAGCTAAGAGATCTTGTCGAGGAACATGGTATTTACCTGCTGGTAGAGTCGAAAAGAACGAATCTCTCGAAGAAGGCGTAATTAGAGAAGTATTAGAGGAAACTGGACTTGCTTTTCAACCAGTGTCAATTATTTGCATCGACTCTCAAGGAACCTTCTGGTTTCGATTCACTTTCGTGGGCTGCATAACGGGAGGAAAGCTTAAAACTTTGGATGAACAGGACAAGGAGTCGATGGAAGCGGGCTGGTTTCCGGCTGAAGAAGTGTTTACTTCTCTGCCATTAAGAGCAAGGGACATTTGCCCGTTGATAGATCTTGGGCTGAAATGGTATGAAACTAAACAAGAACAGACCATTTGTAGACTGCTTCCTGCAAAGAATTCCCAGGGACAAGTTACTGTTCGCCTGTTGGCTGTTAAAAGAGTTGAAAAAGATGATGAAAAATCGTTTTTTTGTCTGGTGTGCCACAACTCTACCGGTGATGGTAACCACAACTGTCATCCTTATTTTCCAAGCAAGTCTGTGGGTATAGATGGCTCAAATATCACTCATGTTGTTGACCAGCTCATCAAAGATTTTGACAGTAACCTACACTACAAAAAACATGGCTACGTTTCTGTTGAACACACCGGAAAGCCTCATGGAGAAGCAGATGGAGTATGTCTTACCGTTCTTGTAGAGGTGTTTCCAGCAGTTGAGGAGGAAGGTTTGAAAGGAAAATATCAGTGGTTTAAAGTAGAAGAAAAATCCTTGACAGAAAATATTTGGAAACTCATAGATGTTAAGGGTTTTGTTGAGTTTGTAGAATCTTAATTTACAGCTTGAATTAATTTGCTTGAAGGAGGGTCGAGGGGTTATAACAACAAAGGATCAGCAGATTCTGACAGTATTTTTGGATTCATAGCAAAAGCTTAACCCTGTAACTCCCATGAGTGACCAAGACAGAATTTCTCCTTACAATATCAATAAAACATTAACCAGATAGGTGATGAGAATAAAGAAAAATATCAATTTGGGGATAATTAGTTGATTGAATACTAAATTCTCTGAACTAATATTATAAGAATTATTTGGTAGACAGTGAGGAGAATTACAAATTTGATCTGGAAAAAAAGGGTTGAAGGATTTGTGGATCCTGAAATTATAGTGGTTGGCGGTTTTCATGGATTTTTTTGGGCCCAGATTTTCAATTTTGCTTCGGACAACAACTCTGAATCAACAACAGGTTTCTAATGTAAAAGTTGATCTTTTACTGTACAGCTCAGAAATATGTTAGCTGCGCAGATGTATTTTATATGCTCAGACACAGGTAGTCAGACATGCATATATGCTTTTCGTGCACAGCGCATGTGTCATTGTTGTGTAAAACAAAGAAGTTTTGGGTTTGAAAAGGAAACAAATTGACAACAGAAAATTTAAATAATGAATGGCATGGCTTTGGGGATTTGTTGAATAGCAAGCAGTAGCAGTAGATTTGCTTGATTTGAGCTGTTGATAATTTAGAAAGAAAAGGGAAATGTCACTTACACAAGGCATTTAAGACGTAAATCATTAATTGAACAACAAAGTAAATACTCACTAATATGCTACCTGATTTATTCTTTTTTAGTTTGTTAAAGGTCCTATAAAAAGTGAGAACGATTTTTGGAAAATTGTTTAGTTAACACACAAAAGTTCAAGGTGCCTTTTCACAAATCCAGGTGTCAAGTAGAAAACAGATTCAGTGTTAACTTTTTTTGTATACAGATCTATGGATTTAGTTATTAAATTACAGTGGATCTGCAGATTTGCATATCCCTATTCACCTCCCTCTTGAGGAATGGATAAGAGAGCTGAGATGCAAATATCTCAAATTTTCAGACTTTTGCCTTCCCCATGAGCAGATTTTTAGTCGTTGGCCAAACACATCTTCAAACAGAAACAGGGCAGATTGAAACTCAAACCTTTGGTGCACCAAGTTGAAATGTCTTTTGGGATCAGTCCTAGCAATCAAGTTCAACATTTGACTCAGACACTGAACTTGATCAGTCAAACTTATGCTTTAGTCAAAAAAGCAAATTATGTTATGCAAAACTAATTTTCTACTAGTTTGTGCTTAATATTCGGGAAATTAAATTTTGCTGTTTGAATCAATTAGTTGCTCTTTACCAATAAACCTCCTAGGTATGCAAACTAATCTAAATTGGATGTTTCAAACTTATTTGTATCAAATGTGAGTGTATAGTAGAAGGAATTATGCTTGGTGCATTTAAGTACACGAAGAAGATAACATTTGAGTCAGTCTTTATTTCGGTCAATAACATGTTGCATGGTACCCAAGTTAATGTGTGATAAAGTTCTGTAATGTTAATAATTGTGTATTTTAGGATGTGATGTTTTTTGACAACTGATTTTTTCAAAACTGAATTTAGAATCATTACATGATGCAATAGTATTATCATTGGTATTATCATTAAGAGAACTTATATAATTTTGGCAACAGGAAGCCAATACTTTTGATTTGATATTTTTCATCTGAAAGTGTATTATACATATGTATTTTTTTTAAGTCAATAGTTTATGCAAAGGCTATAAATTATAATCAATTTTTTTTTTCAGTTGAGCTAAAAGCTGCACTCCAGATCTAGTTTTGTTCCATTCTTGATTTGGATTTAGTTGATCCATTGTTGGATATTTTCACTTTTTTTAATCTGCCTAACTTTTTAACTCCAAGATCAAATTTGTAATTCTCCTTACTGTCAACCATACAATTCTTATAATGTTAGTTCAGAGAATTTAGTATTAGATGAACTAATTATCTCCAAATTGATATTTTTCTTTATTCTCATTACTTATCTGGTTGATATTGTATTGATATTGTAAGGAGAAATTCTGTCTTGGTCACTCATGGGAGTTACAGGGTTAATTCTACCCTTAAGCTGCTATACATTTCCTTGAAACTTAGTAACAAGAATTTGGTGATAGATCAAAATACAATGTAACAAATTCTATACGATTAGTTTGAGTATTCTTATCACCAGTTTGCAGGATATTGTATGGATATTATAGAGAGAACTTACATGTTGAATTTTTCTGGGAGTTAACAGTTAATATTGAAAAGTATTTAATGATTATTATAGTTATCACTCAATGAGGTGTATTAATTGTTGATTTAAGACATCAGTTTATTTTTTTAGAGAAATCTTCATTATCTTGAATTAAGTTCATAAATATTATTTGATGATTATTAAAGTATGTTTTTGAATTATTTTTTTATGAAAAAAAACTGTTAGCATGTAGAGTGGTATGTTACTTGCACCAATCAGATCACCACATTTGGGTATGTATATCGCACCAATCATATCACAGCATTAAATATCTTGTGCCAATCACAGCGTTTGGGTATTGTTTTCCTGTAAATGATGTCATGTAATCAGGGGGCCATGCACAAAGAATAACGTTAACCAGTAATTTTGTGCTCATTTCACAAAAGCCTTGTCAATTAAGGTCAAGATTTATAGGGATATAAAAGGTTCGCATTATTTGATTCATTTTAAGTGAAAACATGTTTTTTCCACTCCTTTAAACACAACTCACACACCAAACAACTTACATTCCATCATATACCATGAAAACAATGTCCAAAGTCCAATCAGAACATACCCAATCATTGCATTACATGAACATTAGGCAATTTTTCATGTGCTTGAATTGTATTCCACCAATCAAATTTCATGTTGCCAAATTAGACTTTTCTCCATTGCATGCCATTTTCCTTGTAAATAACCTGCATTTAATCACATATTCTAATTGCTTTGTCCAACCCCACTGAAAAAAATTCACATGGAACTAAAAGCTACTGATTGTGAATTTTTTTACAAAGTTCTCCCACTTTTTACTTTTTCTACAAATAAAATTGGCTTTTAGCTACATTAGACCTAATCCAATTGCATGTTAATTCCTTGTAAACAACCTACATTTTATTGCGTATTTCACACACAGAGGGCAAAGTCCAGATAAGCAACAACCAATCAAGGAGCCCTCTTTGAAATATTATCCTTTTCTCTTGTTCAATGTATTTTCACTTATCTGAGATCGCAATATATCTTTGGTTAGGGTCTGTGGAAGAATTATATTTTTCAGGTAACTAACTGTAGATGAATAATTTTTATTTATCTCTGTTCAAGGATAGCAGTAAGCATAGTCTCTTTCGCAGCTGTAATTTGGTCTCATTACACAATGCGCTCTCCCTCTCAATCTTTTTGTAACGAATAGCCAAATTAACAACTATGGTACCAGAACAGCTAGTAATTATCGAACGCATTCATTTGTGCTGCACAAATCTCAAGCAATTTACAATTCTTTACCAAGGTCCTAAAATTTGGAACTCTCTTCCTGTTTCAGTCACTCATTTGTCAAACCTTCTTAGTTTTAAGACAAAAATGCAAGAGTTTTTACTTAAATAATCCTTGAATTGGCCTAGCCGCACATTCGCAGCACTTTTTCTTTACTTTATTTATTAATGTAAGTGAGGTGGCTCTCCCATAAGCCCAGTGGCTTCCTGGGTCTCCTTGCCTTCTAGCTATAACCGCTGCAAATAAATTTTTTTTGTATTGTGTAAATAAGGCAAATAAAAATATGATGATGATGAAAATCAAACAACTGTTGCAAAGGAGACAACAAAAAGTGTGGCAGCGAGGCATTTTACTTTTGCCTAGAAGTATTTACACAGTAGAGCCAATAGACCACAAAATACCTGTGTGAGTTTGGAAAAATTAAGTTTTTTTCTTTCTCTTAAGGTGAACTAATGCAATATTTTTGTCTGTTTGAAAATAATGCTTTTTTACTGTTACAGAAATGCATAAAGTGCCCCATGCCAGTATTTTCAATTTTGAATCACATTCTGCCATCTTGGCTATTTCTTTTTTTGACTGAACACTCTCAAGATTCTCTGAAAATATCAGATAGTAGGCTAGCTGTAGACTACAAGCAATTTTCATAATTTTGGCTTGCCAGCTTTCTCCTTTTGTGGGTACTTTGGTGAGCAAAGCATGTCTGTTTTATGTCAGTAATGAAAACTTCAACTAGTGAAATCATCAAAAATATTTCTTTAGTAATGTTGTCAAGGAACAAACTTCAAACTTCAAACTTTTTAACGCTTTTGACAGTTGTTGTCAATGGATCGGCTAGCTACTCCTTAGCGATTTCCGGTTCCCACCGGAAGTGGAAATACCGGAAGTTTTCAATGTCCTAACTTATCACGTGACCTTTTCTACAGCTGTTATCTCGTTCTTCTTAGTCATTCATCTGCAATCACTAATTTCGCTTCCTAAAGCTTTTAAGGTGTCCCTTGTTAATCGCATTTTAGCCAGGGGGTGTCGGTTGTAATGGTTACCACGCTATAAATATGGATGTTGTCCAAATTTTCGTTCTCTGAGGATTCGAAGGCGGCGGCGCTATCACACGACACTTAAGAAATTGATGACTTGCTAAGCGGTAAGTGCTACTTTAAAAGCAGTTATGATTTGTCACAGGGGCAGAGTAAGATCGTTTTCCTTACTCGTTTGCTCTGAGTACATTAAAAATTTCAGATAACACGAGAGTTTACAACTCAAAATATCAAGGCCGTCACAGACAATTAATTTAACACCTGGGAATTACCAGAGTAAAAGCTAGCTTTCTCCGTGAACATTAGACGTTGCATCCACTGTAACTTTTTCGCTGGATTTCCGTTTTCAGTTGTATCAAATTCCAAACTAGTAGGCCAGTTTATTTACAAGAATAATCTCGGAAAGAAATTACGAGATTACCGACTCGGAGGTAAATGAATGAAA